TCTATCTATCTATCTATCTATCTATCTATCTATCTATCTATCTATCTGGAGCACAGACACAGGCTTCTAAATAGCATGCACATGTGGAGGACAGAGGACAACTTGCAGAAGTCAGTTCTCTCCTTCCACCACATAAGGCAGAACAGCATTTACCCACTCACTGTCCCAAGCAGTATCTTTTTTTTGTTTGGTTTTTCAAGACAGGGTTTCTCTGGAGCTTTGGAGCCTGTCCTGGAACTAGCTCTTGTTTACCAGGCTGGCCTCAAACTCAAAAAGATCTGCCTGCCTCTGCCTCCCAAGTGCTGGGATTAAAGGCGTGCACCACCACCACCTGGCCCCCAAGCAGTATCTCTTTTTTTTTTTTTAATTTTTATTTTATGTGCAACCACATTTTGCCAGCATGTCTGTGTAAAGGAGTCGGATCCTCTGGAACTAGAGTTACAGACAGTTGTGAACTGCCATGTGGGTGCTGTGAATTGAACCCCAGGTTCTCTGGAAGAGCAGCCAGTGCTTTTAACCTCTCAGCCATCTCTCCAGCCCCCCAAGCAGTATCTTAAAGAGGGTAAAAGCATCATGGTTTTATGACATTAGCTCATTTTCATGTGCCTAAGCAGTATCCGGTAATTCCCGGGCCGCATCTCTGCTCTGGAAAGCACTGTACTAACTGGTAGAGTGATGAAGCTGGCTGGGCGGTGGTGGCACAGCCTTCAATCCCAGCACTCAGGAAGCAGAGGCAGGTGGATCTCTGTGAGTTCCAGGCCAGTCTGGTCTACAGAGTGAGTTCCAGGACAGGCTCCAAAGCTACCGAAAGAAACCCTGTCTCATTATAGCAAAAAGCTAAAAGTGATCGTTCGTGTCTTCTGTTGGGTGAGAGGGTTCAGCAGGTAAAGGTACCTGCTACCAAGGTCAACACCATGAGTTCAATCCCTGGGACTCACAGGACAGGAGAGAACTGACTGCAAATTCTTCTCTGACCTCCACACACAGAAATAAATGTAATTAAAAATGAATAAACAAATGTCTAGTCAGGGAATAATACACTCTATATTCTTTATTCGAGAAAAGATCTCTATGTAAGCTCCAACAGTCCTGGAACTCACTCTGTAGACCAGACTGGCCTTGGACTCATAGAGATTTGCCTATCTCTGCCTCCAAAGTGTTGGGATTGAAAGTTGTATGTCATCAAATCTGGCCATATTCTGTATTTTTCACAGCTCCCCTCCACCCAAGGATTGCACATATCCTATTAACCACCTGGCCCTTGATGGCATTTATACAAGTCGATATACATTTATATGTAACCTTTGATTTAGGAAGTAATTAGAAAAGGACAAAAAAGTAAGTTTCAAGTCACTATCTTCTTTTTAGTTGGCATTAGTGCCAACCTTGTATAATCTCAAAACTTTAGAAAGATTAGCTTCTGATATATACACATGAAAGGTAAATACATATCAAGAACCGTACCTTGATATCATTGTCTATTCCACCAGAGATAATCTGATCGCTTGTGTCATTGAAGGTCACAGCCAACACCTGGTAAGTGTTCTGAAATGTCTGGATAGCTGCTTTCTTGCGGATGTCCCAGAGCTGAAGCAGAAAACAGGCAGCATCAGTAACATCCTTTTCAGGAGCAATCACACAGAACACCCTCACACCCACCTTCAAAGGAACAGAAACACTGGGCTCTTGCTACTGCTTGGCAGTTCAGCTATTCCCCATCTCAAACTTTCCCACCCAAATTTAAGGCATCGAACTACTAAACAGCTAAGTTTGCCTATAAGGTCAAACACATGTCTGATAAGCTTTAAAATAAACAGGGTGGGGGTTGGAGAGATGGCTCAGTGACTAAGAGCACTGGTTGCTCTTCTAGAGGACCCAAGTTCAATTCCGAGCACATACATGACAGTCAGTTTAAAAGGATCTGACTGACTCCTTCTTTTGGCCTCCACAGGCACCAGGCACACAAGTGGTGCACAGACAGACATGCAGACAACATACCTATACACATGAAATAAAAATAAACCTTAAACAATCAAAGTTAGTATGAAAAATGTACAGATAAACCATGCACAAGCAAGTGTCCATAAGACCTAGATGATAATTAAAACTGTAATTCTGATTATTAAGAGGATCATGTGTAGCTCAGTTTATAAACTGCTGCCATTCTGGGTCGATGCTTCACTTTGAAAGGCTGTAACATAAACTGTCCTGATCTAACTATTGTCTCCAGTGCTTGCATTATGAAACTAGAGTATCTTATGAAGTGAGGATCACTTTTCTCACTCCACAGCTTGGCTCAGATCTAGTGAAGTGCGGAAAAACAACGTGCACCTATATTCCCAGCTTCTGAAGAAGCTGAGTTTGTCAACTGCTTAAGCCCAAGGGCTCTCTAGGCCAATTGCAGCCTGTTTCAACACCTGAAAAAACAAAACAAAAACAAAAGACCCAAAAACAATAACAACAAAACCCTCCATAAACCTCCTAAAGTGTGAAAAAAACCAGTTAACATGCCCACAGATAGAAATTTCTCTACCGGCTTACTTCAAGTATCTGTGTGTGTATATACATGTGTGTATAGGTATATGTTCCCTTATTTTTTGAGACATACGTATACACATACCATATACACAAAACAAACAGTGAATTAACAAACAGGTAAAGAAATGGGATAAACCTTACTCCCAAGATGTGGCCAGTAAGACCACAGAGTGAGGTATAGGCCAACTAAGGCAAGAGTGAGATCCTGTTTCAAAAACCCCAAAAGAGGACTATAACTACTAGGGCTGGAGAGATGGCTCAGAGGTTAAGAGCACTGGCTGCTCTTCCAGAGATCCTGAGTTCAATTCCCAGCAACCACATGGTGACTCATAACCATCTGTAATGAGATCTGGCGCCCTCTTCTGGCCAGGAGGCATACATGCAGGCCAAACACTGTACATAATGAATAAATCTAAAAAACAAAACAAAAAACTATTCAGAGGGTAAAAGTGCTTGTTAGCTACCCTGATGACCTGAGTTTGATCCTTGGAACCCACATGACAGGAAAGAACTGACTCCTCCATGCTGTCCTCTGGCCTCCACATGCTCATCATGGTGTGCATATAAACAAACAGGTGAGATTTAAAAAAGAAAGGAAGGAAGGTGCTAGCGAGATGACTCAATTGATCAAGTATCTGCTAGATACATGAGTACCTGGCTCAGATAGATCCCCAGCACCCACGAAAAAACAGGCACAGCAGTTCACCTATGAGTCTAATGCTGGGGAAGAGGAGCCTGGCTTACATAGGGGACATAGAGAGCCTGTTTCAAAAAGTAAATACAATAAAAAAAACAAAACAAAACAAAAGCTACAAACAAAACCACCACAAAAACCACTGTTACTCATTAGAATAATGAGATTATTTATCTTTTCGGGACAGGGTCTTACTATATAGCTCTATATGTAACTTGCCATGTAACCCAGGCTGCCATGCCTACAATCTCAGCACCCAGGAGGCTGACGCAGGCAGATCACTTTCAATTTCAGGCTGGTCTGTACTACACAGTAAGTCCCTGACTGGAAATCAATCAACGCACCAACCAACCCCAACAAAAAGAGCCAGGCACTGCAGTACACATCAGGAGATCAGCTTGGCAACATGGTGAGACTCAAGTGTCAAAACACACCTGAAATCCCAGCACCCAGAAGGCTTAGACAGGAGGAACAAAAGTTCTGAGGTGAGGCTTGTCTACACAGTAAGTTTGTGTCTCAAAAAACTAAACCAAAAAACCCATGAGTTCCTTATCTTCCCAATCCCCCCCCCCACAAGCACAATGACCACAGTAATGTAGCACCACATTCATCTGCGAAAAAAGTACACATGTGTGTAGTATGTATCTGTGATGTATAGCTATGTATGTGTGATATAAAAAATCTTATGAATGTGGTTGTGGAAGTCAAAGGTTGACATATACCTCTCCTTATATATTGAGGTGAGGTGTGGGTTATTTCTTTACACTGTGTGAATATATGTCACTGTGACTGGTTTATTAAAGAAGCTGACTGGTCAACAGCTGGACAGGATAAGGTTGGGGGAGAGCCAAACAGAATGATGGAAAGAAGGGCGGAGTTGGTGGAGTCAGGAGTCGCCAGCAGATGCAGGGAGAAGCAAGAGAGTAACAAGTCACATGGCAAAGTGTAGATAAGAAATATGGGTTAATGGTCCAATATGGCGGCGCCCAGTGGCGGTGTGAACTGTGAAGAGTTTGCCGAGTTCCAGGAATTACTCAAGGTGATGAGGACAATTGATGACAGAATAGTACATGAATTAAACACTACGGTTCGAACAGCTTCCTTTGCAGGGAAGATTGATGCCAGCCAAACCTGTAAACAGCTTTATGAGTCTTTGATGGCAGCTCATGTCAGTAGGGACAGAGTTATAAAGAACTGTATAGCCCAAACCTCAGAAGTAGTAAAAAGTCTCCGAGAAGAAAGAGAGAAGAACCTGGATGACTTAACGTTATTAAAGCAGCTTAGAAAAGAACAGACAAAGTTGAAATGGATGCAATTAGAACTAAATGTTGAAGAAGTGGTAAATGACAGGAGCTGGAAGGTGTTTAATGAACGCTGCCGAATTCACTTCAAGCCTCCAAAGAATGAGTAGAGGTTTTTTTTTTTTTGGGTCATCTCATCAACTAAGCGTGACAGACGTCACATCAGGGCGGGCTCCTGGGGATGGTCTCCGAGCCAGCAGGCCAATTCTCATAATTATAATAATCAATTACTATTTTATACTGATTCTGTACAAATGTTTTGTAACTATTAAAATAATTTTCTGAAAAAAAAAAGAAATATGGGTTAACACAAGAGGAAAAAAAATGGGCTAACATAAATGTAGGAGTTAGCTAGTAACAAGCCTGAGCTATTGGCCGTGCATTTATAATTAATATTAAGTCACTTCCACCTATAGTGGGGTCTCTAACTAAACCTGGAGTGTGCCATTTCAGCTAGTCTCATAAGGCAGCTTGTTCCATAGATTCCCTGTCTCTACTGCCAGTGCACTAGGATTACAGTAGGCCACCAGGTCCACCATCTTTTTCACTTGGGTAGTAGGGATCTAAACTTTGGTCCCCATGCTTGGACAAAGAGCACTTTACCCCACCTGAAAAAAATGAGACTGTTTTACCACGTGGCCTTAATGTTAAATTGGTACATGGTGGTGTACTTGAGGAAAGTGGACTCCGGGAGAGGAGAGGTTCTCTGTTGTCTCCTTCAAACCCTAATCCAGGATCAAGCTGGCTCTGTAATGGGGAGACAGGGAAACAGCAGCAGCTAAGGGAATTAAATCCTATGCCTTTGAGAACTGCTAGAAGGTAACCAATTCCAACAGAGCCACTATTATCCCATGATACAAAAGTGCCTGTAGCAGGAACGAGAAGCCAGGGAGAAAGCTCAGTGGGGCTCTCCAGCAGAGTGCTTCAACTTCCCCAGCTGATTTCTGCTGGGTGGCTTTTTGTTTGTTTTCTGTTTTTTTTCCCCCCAAGAAAAGGTTTCTCTATTATAGCCCTAGCTGTACTGGAACTAGCTCTTGTACACCAGGCTGGCCTCATACTCAGAGATCACCTCCCAAGTGCTGGGATTAAAGGCATGTCGCACCAATGCCCAGCTACTGCTGGGTGTTTGTGTAAGCTCTGATTTGATAGTGTTACCTTTGTCTGCTTTCTCAAGCAGGCTACTTCAAGCATCTCTACTGGCCATTAGAAACTAATTTGAGGATGTTTTGCTATTTGTGCTACCTTCTATTTGTTCTTTTATACTTGCTTTTTTGCTATGTACTTAATAAATTCACTCATTCAGAACCGAAGGTATGGCTGTCATAGATCATTCTCCACACTGCACAGAAAAGTAGCCTAGCTACTCAAATTTGAGATTTCCCCCAGACACTGAGATTGTAGCTTGCCTCATTTTATTTGTAGGGAAAGTCCAGAAACACAGACAAGCTAGAGGTTGCCAGGGGCTGGAATATAGGAAGGAAACAAGAATGACTTCATTGGTTTCTTTGGGCATGAGGAGATGTCTGGGTATCAAAGTCACTTTAATTTTGATTTATTTAATTTAAGTGACAGAGACTGAACCAAGGACCCTGCGCATGCTAGGCAAGGGTAACACTGAGTCACAGCCCCGTCTAGCTTTTTAAGATTTCAGTGGTGAATTTAAATTTTATCTCAAGTAAAGGAGTCTATAGGAGAGACATCTGAGCAAAGGGTGCTTTCCCTTTCTTTTTAAACAGACATAAGCTGAGCAACTGTCAGAACACACTCAGACTTCCTGATTTGGAAGTCAAAGCCTTGATAATTCAGCTCCCACATATATGGTGAAACTTTGTCTCAACAGATAATCTTTACACAGATCAAAACAATCTTTGTCCCTTATTTTTGAGGCAGAGATTCACTATGTAGCCCAGGCTAGTCTGAAACTCACCATTTTCTTGCCTCAGCCTCCTGTGTACTGGGATTACAGGCGTGTGCCTCAACGCCTGGCGCCAATCTGTTTTTAACCTAAAAGGTACGGTAGTCACTTAAAGTTTGATTAAAATAATTAAAAAATTTTGAAATAATCACAAACTTCCTGAAAAGTTGAAAAAGAATTTTTTTTCCCTAAATTCATTTTAGAGGGAGTGCTGACTAGTGACTCATCTCCCCAGCACCTCCTAGTGTTTGTCCACACAAATGTTTCTTATGTAACTCCTGTGCGCCATCAACAGAAAGAAACCACCAAGACACGTGTTTGTCGTGGCACTCAAACACCATTCAAGCTTAACCACTACCCACTGGCCCTTTTCAAAAAGACACCAAGATTCAGTTTGGAATTCTGTGTTAAATCTGTCATGTCTTTTTTAGTCTCTTTCAGATTTTCCTTAAGCTTTGTGACCCTGGCACTTGTGAAAAACACAGGAATGCTCCTCTCTGTGCTTGCGTTTGTCTGGCATTGCATCAGCGAGACTGAAGGGTTATCTTTAGTAGGGATATCACAGAAATAGTAACATCTTTATCAGGCACTAGCGAACAGCTCACAATCCTGTCTCATTACTGATAACATTCAGTTGCAGCATTTGCCCAGAAATTTTTGTACAAGATGTTCTAAGCTCATCTTAAAGTACTTTCCTGGAGCAGGCCTAACATAAGAGCCTTAGCTTTGTTTAGTGGCAAATGATATTTAAAGACCAAGACATAATTAAAAATAAATAAAAGTCAGATGTGGTGACGCTTGTCTTTAATCCCAGCACCCAGAAGGCAGAGGCAGGTGGATCTGAGTTCCAGGCCAGTCTAGGCTACACAGAGAAACTTTGTCTCGAAAAACAAAGACCAAGATATGAAGCTGGGATGTGGTTTAGAGCTGAGTACTTCCCTAGCATGCTTGATGCCCTGGGTGATTCCCGGTAGATCAAATAGGGTCTTCTAAGCCTTCTCAGTATAAAGCTATGCAATATGTGTATATTTCAGAACATAGATGCCTGTAAACACACAGATCCCCTCTTCCCACTTTTGTGTTTTTGAAACAAAGTCTCATGTATCCTAGGCTGGCCTCAAATTAGCCAAGTAGCTGATGATGACCTACAATTCCGATCCTTCTATGTTCATCTCCCGCGTGCTGGATTACAGTGTGCACCATGCCTGGTTTATGTTGTGCTGGGAACACATGGCAGGCAAGCCCCACACCAACTGCAGTATATCCCTAGTCCTGTGTCCACTCCTGCGACATACCACAGGTTCAGATACTGAATCACCCAAGTTGTCACTTACTCAAAATGTTTTTCCTGAAGTAAGGACTTAGTTTAGATTATCAGCTTATAAATCAAAAATGAGAGCTCATACTGATTCTTCTTATTTGAACCCAGCATCACAAGACTCATTTAGTTTTCTCCCCATTTTTGTACCGAAAACTCCATTTTCTCGAGTGTAAGAAATCTTCTTATGATACTAAATACTTTTACTTACTTGATAAGGCTCCCTATAACTGATTTTCCAAATTATCTTTAATCCTTTACCTTCATGGGCATCTTCCTTCCTTCTGTTTTGCTGTCATCCCCATTTTGGTTGGCCTTATGAGGGTCCTCTCCTCACCCATGCTGGTCTGACCTTCTTCCTTACTATATAGTGAGGCCCTATCATAAGAACTCACTTCCAGAAAAAAGTTTGCTTGGCGTCTTCAAATAAATTTAAACTAAAGAATTACATGAAGGAGAGATGGCTCAGTGGTTAAGAACACTGGCTGCTCTTTCAAAGGGCACTGATTCAATTATTAACACCCACATTGAGGCTAAGTGCCTGCGACTTCAGTTCTAGGGTATTTGTACACACACACACACGAATAAAAATATAAAATTAAACTGGAAAAAGAGGACTACATAAAAAGCAGTCATCTTTAGGTGATATGACATATTGCCCATTTTACAGAATGCTACTTTGATGAAACTTGGGGAGGGGGCTTAGAAGTTAAAAGTTCCCACTGCTCTTGTGGAGGATCTGGATTTGAGTCCTAGCATCTACATGGTGACTCACAACCATTTGTAATTCTAGTTCTAGGGGATCCAAGGCTTTCTTTTGATCTCTGTGGGTACAAGGCAAGGCATGGACATGGCACACACACATACACATAGGCAAAACATTTACACAAACAAAATATGTAACAATATTGCTTTAAGCAATAAATTGTTCCTTTTACAAGAAAAAAAAAAGAAAGAAAAAGTTAAAAAGATCCAAAGAGAAATACAGGGACAAAGGGGAAAAGGCAAAATAAAGAGAAAATAATACAAACAAGAACAAGTTCCTATCTATTGTACTTATATAGAGGTCCTTAACACACTTGTTAACGGGGCTGAAGAGATGGCTCAGCAACTAAGAATTCCTATTGCTCTTCCAGAGGAAGCAAGTTCAGATCCCAGCACTGACACTGGATGGCTCACAACCACCCATAACAGCATCTTTTGAACAACTCATGCATTTATGTATATGCGTGCACACACACACACACACACACACACACACACACACACACACACACATATACACACTAATAAAATTTCACCCTTAAGAGTTCAAATTCAGTATAGCTAACCTAAGCTTCGAGGCTCACAAAAGCCAAGTAATCTGGCATAGAATATCATTCAGTACAGAACATGTCAAGACATATAATCAAACATATCAGAGTCACCACCTTTATTTATTATATTTTTTTAAGATTAATATATTTTGGCGAGGCAGTAGTGGTGCATGCCTTTAATCCCATCACTCGGGAGGTAGAGGCAGGTGGATCTCTGTGAGGTCAAGGCCAGCCTGGTCTATACAGCTAGTTTCAGGATAGCCAGGGATATGCTGAGAAACAATGTCTCCAACACACACACACACATACACACACACATTTTTTATGTATACGGATGTTTTGCCTGCATGTGTGTCTGCACACCATATGGATGCAGTGTTCTTAAGAGGGCATTGGGTTTCCCCATAACAAAGTTATGTATGGTTATTAGTCACCATGTGGGTGCTGGGAACCAAACGTGGGTTCTCTGCAAGGGTAACAAGTGCTTGTAACTGCTGAGCCGTCTCTCCAACCCCAATTTATTATTATTACTATTTTTAAAGATTTCATTGAAAAAGTAGCAGGTGTCTTACTCAGTGGCAGAGCACCTCCCTAGCACTTGTGAGGTTCCAGGTTCTAAGCACCAGCACCAACAAGATAAATCAATAACATGCAAGACAGGGCTTGGTAACATAGGCCTTGTAAAGGTTAGTTTTTATTTCCACTTGACACAAGCTGGAGTCACGGGAGAGGAAAGAGTCTCAATTGAGAAAATGTCTCAATGAGATCAGGCTGTAGGCAGGTCTGTTGGGCATTTTCTTAATTAGTGATCGATGGAAGAAGGCCCAGCCCATTGCGGGTGGATGTCCTGGGTTCTACTACAAAGCAAACTGAACAAGGTTTGGAGAGCAAGCCAGTAAGCAGCACCCCTCTGTGGCCCCAGTATCAGCTTCTGCCTTGAGGTTCCTGCCCTGTTTGAGTTCCGTCCTGACTTCCTTCAGTAATGGACTACAATGTGGAAGTGTGAGCCAAATAAACTCTTTCCCTACAAATTCCTTCCTGTCACGGTGTTTCATTTAAGTAATAGAAACCCGAACTAAGACAGGCTTCTATCTCAACTACTTAGAAGGCAGTAGAAGAGGACTGAAAGTTCAAGGCTACCCTGGGCTACAAAATGAGTTTAGGGCCAATCTAGGCAACTTGCTAAGATTCTATCTTAAATTAAAAACAGTGACAAGATAAACACCAGGGACTGTAGCAGCTGCTCGGCAGTGAAGAGCACTTACTGCCCTTTTCTTTCTCACCTTTAGATTTATTTTATGTGTATGAGTGGTTTGTTTGCATGTCCATACTTATATCATGTACATGCCTGGTGCTGGGCTGGCAGAGGTTGGAAGAGGGCACCTGATCCCCAGAACAGGAGTCACAGATGGCAGTGAGCCACCATATGGGTGCTGGGAATCAAACTGGGGTGCTTTACAAGAACAGCAAGTGCTCTTTACTGCTAAGCTATCTCTCTAGCCCCACACTTACTGTTCTTATGGAGAACTAGGAATTTATGCTATCGTACACGTACAAACATGCAGACAGCGTAGCAGCCAGAGAAGAGGGTAAAGTAATATGTGTGTATGAGTATGAACATGGTATAAGGATATACATGTACAAAAGCCTCACAACGAAATGCATGAATCAGTTCATACTATGAAGCATGCCTTGGAGATCACTTCATTGATGTATTTAGTTATTTTTTCTTGAAATAGAATCTCGCTAGGCAGCTCAGGCCATTCTCTGAATTCAACAATGCTCTGGGAATTTTTATTTTATTATCTGTCTTTTGAGATTGTCTCACTACACAGCCAAGGTTGGCCAGCACACTGGCTTACTCTGGGTGTTTTAGTAGGTTCTTCAGGTGATCTTAACACAGCTTGGGAATCATCAAATTAAATGATCTGTAAGATTCATCCTAGGCCACTGAGAGCAACTGCTGAGCTTCTGAGACATCTGCGACTTCACAGCAACCTTGTAAGACACTTATCATCCTACTGTCACAATTGGAAAGGTTAAGAAAGTGCACCAGGCAGTGGTGGCACACGAGGCCAGCCTGGTTCACTAAGGGAGTTCCAGGGCAACCAGGGCTATACAGAGAAACCTTGTCTCAAAAGAAAAAAAAAAAAAAAGATTAAGGAAGCAAAGCTCAGAGATTGAACTGCTCAAAGACAAGCAATCCATAGCTGAGCCATGAATCAAATTCTCGCAGTCCATTGATTCCAAATAGCAGTACTAGAATGGTTCTAATAGAATTTTGTAGGGCATTATTTCAACTGGTAAAAGTTGAAGTATGCTTTGGAAAATGAGTTAAAACTAAGAGAAGAGCACAATATTGGTAGAAAGACAGGCTAGAGTTTACATTAAGAAAACTCAACTGCAACACAGATGAGATAATACCGACCTTAACTGTGCCATCGTCGCTGCCAGTGCAGACAAGCTGGGGGCCCCGCCGGGCTGGATAGCAGGAGTTCACAAACGACGTATGTCCCTTCAGCCTTTTCACCCTCTCGCCTGTTTCACTATCCCACACAGCCACTGTCTTATCTGTCGATGCTGAGAAGAGCATGCTAGAAGAAGAACATAAAAGATATGAGACAAACGATTGGGGCTGGAGACATGCTCAGTGGTTAAGAGCATGGGCTGCTCTTCCAGAGGACCTGGGTGTGATTCCCAGCACCCAGATAAAGGCCCACAACCAGCTGTAACTCTATTTCCAGAGGATCTGATACCTCTTTTGTTCTCCACAGGTATTGCATGCATGCGGTACACAGACACACAGGCAAAATAATGTAAATAAACAAGATAAATCTCAAAAAAGAAAAAAAAGGGGGGGATTATGACAAACCCCCCTTTCTCACTTTCTCACTTTATGACAAATCTCTTTCTCACTTGCCAAAATGCATCAGATTCTTCCCAATCACTGCCTGCTGCACTGTGAATTTAGCTCATGAACCCAGTGTGCCTCCCTCGTCCTGCCATTGGCAATTCTATTCACCTTCTGGATTCACTATCAGGTTGACCCACACTACACAACCAATATAGCAGTTTTTTCAATCAATCTTTTCCTTCTTTGTGATATACCTGGATACAAAACCCTCTCACACAGAAGTATTTAAGCCCTCCCTGCTAAGGTGGAGGAGAGGTTGATTGTAGTAATTCTAGATTTAAGAGCTGAGTAATTCCAGATTTAAGAGCTGAGTAATTCTAACCTTCTGCTCTGTCTCTGGAAATGATTTCTAAGTTAAACTTGATCTTACAATGTCCCCTTTTCCCTTTGAGCCAGGGCCAAAGGTCTATGTAGACCACGCAGGTCTTGAACTCAAGATACTCCTGCCCCAACACTGCCTGAGAACTGAGACTGGAGTACATGCAACAGTGCCCATTATAATGCTGAAGAAAAATTCTATTTTATGATAATGGGCATGGAGCTTATACATTTGTGTCATATATGTACAGTGTTCAGAGGGCAGAAGAGGGAGCACTGGATGCTCTGCAGCCAAAGTTACTGAGAGCTGTTGGCCAGAATGTGGACACGGGGAGCTGAACCTGGGTCCTCTGTAAGATAAGCAAGTGCTCTGTGATGATCTGAATGAAAACGGTTCCATAGGCTCATAAGGAATGGCAATGTTAGGAGGCGTGGCCTTGCTGAAGTAGGTGTGACCTTGTTGGAGGAAGTGTGTCACTGGGGATGGACTTTGAGGTTTCAAATGCTCAGACCAGGCCCAGTGACTCTCTCTTCCTGCTGCTTGCTGATCCAAATGTTATAAAAATTAATATATATATATCCTAAAATTACCCAATATTAATTTTTTCCTTTTTTATTGCTTTATAAATAATACCATTCAAAATTTCCACCTCCTCCTCTCCTCCCATTTCCTTCCCACTCCCCCCCACAATATTAATTTTTATAACAATTGGTTGGTTCAAGCAAAAAAATATCAGTAGACAAGATTGTAAGCTTGGTTTACATTATGGATATGCTAAAACTCAACAATTTTGGTAGAAAAGGACTTTAGCAAAGCATATAACATAAGCAGTGATTGGAGAGGTAAAAATGTGGGTAATTTTTCCTTTTATTTATTTTTTTTTAACATAGTTTATTACTTTCATGATAAAAATAGCTAATTTCAGCCCGTGAGATTACTTAGCAGATGTAGGCACTTGCCTGTTCGACTCCCAGAACCCAGATAAAGGTAAACAAGGAAAACTAGCTCCATGAAGCTGTCCTGACCCCTACATACATACCCCTCTCACAAACACCTTGTGCACACACAATAACCGGTAAATTTTTCTACACACACACACACACACACACACACACACACATTTATTTTTTGGAGACAGGACTTTACTATGTAGCTCTGGCTGCCTCTGCCTCCTGAGAGCAGGCATATGCTACTATCCCTGCAGTAAAAATTTTAAAGAGCCAATTTCAAAGTGCATGTGCCTTTAGGTCACTGGGCAGTGGTGGTGTACGCCTGTAGTCCTAGTACTTGGAGACAGAAGCAGGTGAATCTCTGTGAGTTTGAGGCCAGCTTGGTCTACAATGCTATTTCCAGGACAGCCAGGGCTACACACCCACAAAACAAAACAAAACAAAACAAAACAAAACAAAAAAACCCTGTCTGGAAAAACAAACACCCTCCCTCCCCAAAATTGTCTTTGTGTCTTATAAAAAAACAAACAAACAAAAAACAAACCCCACTTCTGAGTACTGGCGTATTACAAGATAAACAAGGATGAGCTTTTAATGGTATACTGCATTACCCTTAAAATTGTGATCCTCCTGCCTCAGCTTCCTCAGTCCTGATGTTAGAGGAGTACATCAAAACACCTTGCCAAAATGTAGCAGTTTTTGACAGGATCTCCCAAGAGATGAAACTCAGAGCTCAAGGGTAAAGACGTTAAGCAGCAGTTTGGGAAGCAATTGTCATCCCATTATGCAGAACACTCACCTGCCATCCGTGTTATAATGCAGTTCCATCACTGCGCCACTGTGTCCCTTCAATGTAGCGTAGTTATCACAGTCACCATAGACGTTCCACAATACTGGTAAGAGGAAAAGAAAACCCAGCACCAGTCAGAGAATATATATATAAAATCATAATATAAATATAAAATAATCAGAAAATACTTCTGAAACTATAAGTCCATAGAACATTGGCTCTACCAATGAGACCAAATCTTCCTGATGCTAAAACTGCTGTGTGCATGCACCTGCTGAGGTATGTATGTGCATGAGTGCACACGTATGGAAGTCAGAGAGGACAACTGTGGGTGCTGTTTATCAGGCATCATCTACCTTTTCCCTTTTGACACAGAATCTCCTCACAGTCAGGAACTTGCCTAGCAGACTAGGCTGGCCAGTTGATGGGCCCCATGGGTCCACACCTGTCTACCTCCCTGGAGCCGAGGATGAGGCTCTAGGATGAGATTGACACTATCTGGTTTTCTACTACCCTGCTTTATATGAGTTCTGCAAACTGAATTCATGTCCAAACTGACTGAGCTTTGTTTTCTCAGCCTTAACTTATTAGACAAGATTTGTTTACTTTTATTTCAAATGTTTGAGTGTTTTGTCTACAAATACGTATATGCATCGTATGCCTGCCTATGAAGGCCAGAAGAGGGAGTTAGATCCTGTGGAACTGAAGTTAGAGATGGCTGCGAGCTGCCATGTAGCTACTGGGAACCGAACTTGAGCCCTCTACAAGAGCAATAACTGCATTTAACTGCTGAAGTATCTTTCCAATGCCCTCAGGGTTAATTTTTAAAAAGTTAGTACTTATTCTTAAATGCTCAGAGCCTGTAGACAGACTGAAAATGGAATCATTGAACTATATCACCTCAGCTTCATTTTTCTATTTATTTTTTAAAAAGATTTATTATTTATTGATGTGTCTGGAAGTGTGCATGCTAAGATACCATCAGAGGTCTGAAGAGAGCATTGGATCCCCTGAATCTGTATTATAGGAGTCATGAGCCACTGATGTTGGGCTGGGAACTGAACGAAGGTCCTCTGGAAGAGCAGCAGTGCACCTTTCTCCTTTTCTTTTCAAGACACAGTTTTTGTGTTCCCTGACTGTTCTGGAACTCACTCTGTAGACCAGGCTGGCCTCAAATTCAAAGATCTACCTACCTCTGCCTCCTGAGTGCTGGGACTAAAGGCACAGCCACTCCCTGCTAACAAATGTTCTTAACCGATGAGCCTTCTCCCCAGATTGTACTTATTTTTTCAAATATGGGCATTCCTAATGAGTAGCTGAGAACCTGGTAGTAGATGATTTAAGCGAGTCACCACTTGAGGATCCCATCTTTCTCCCTCAAACACTATGATCCTGGGTATGGATTAAGGTCTTGTGTTTTTATGAGTAGAGAAGTTCTCTTTCCTCTTAACTCTCAGGCCTGTAATTCCAAAACTTGGGAGGCGGAGGCAGGAGGATTAGAAGTTCCAAATTCATTCTCACTACGTAGCCAATTTGAGGACAGCTGGGGCTACATGAGAGTGACGGGAGAGGGAGAAGGGGGAGGAATGGGAGGAGGGAGGAGGAGAGACCTACGTACTGCTGGACCTGAATGATTGCTCAATATTTTGACGCCTGTCTTAGCATGCTATCATTATAATTTAACTTGCAAATTTAGACTGTTGCCTGATGCCTTGTATAGCACCCAAAAATAAAAAAACAAAACAAAACATCATTTAGTAGAGAGCAGCACCTCCAGAGTCAAAAGCCTTACATATGAGTCGGTCAAATCCTGACGACGCCAAGGTGGATCCATTAGGGTGAAACTTGCAGCAATACACTTCTCCTTCGTGTCCCGAGAGCAGCATGATTGGGGCTTGTAGGGATGAACACCTCGGAGGTCCCTAAACCAAAGAGAAGTGCAAGTTGTCACTGTACACAGGCAAAGGAAGCTGTAAAGTGGGGGCAGTTAGGGAATGGCACCTCTGCTCACAGAACGCCCGCCCGCCTCTCACTAGATAACCCCTTGGACATTCCAGTATACACCCATCATACTACTCTCCTCCCTAACTCTGCTTTTGTTCCACAGTCACTTTTGACTGCTGAGTCATGCTTGACCTCATTTAAGCCTCAGAATCTTAATATGAAAAGAAGTCTCCCATAGAGTTCTCCTCCCACTGACTCCTTTTAAATATTTATCCCAGAGTCTTTTTGTTGTTGTTGTTTTTCAAGACAATTTTTCATAGCCTTGGCCGTCTTGGAACTTGCTCTGTAGACCAGGCTGGCCTTGAATTTAGAGACCTGCCTGCCTCAGCCTCCTGAGTGCTGGGATTAAAGGTGTGGGCCACCACCGCCCAACAAGTCTGTCTTTAACACTCTCACTCAAGTAGCAGACACCTCCCCACCAGCCTTCCATCGGGCCCACAGCACTCTGCCTTCACTACCTGACCTTATTACCTTCCTCGTGCCATTGCTGACGTGCTCCCCCCCCCCACAAAGAAATGAAGCTCTGGGAGTGCAGGAAGAACATTTTTCAGACTTTGAAAAACCCTGTACTGTACAACTTATTACACAAAATAGATTTTTGGGGTGTGAGCAGGGTTTTGATATGTAGTCCTACTGAGTGCGGTATTATAAGTGTGTATCCCTATGCTTGGTTTGGTTTTTTTTTTTTTTTTATAATATTTCTTTATTTATTATGTATACAATATTCTTTCTGCATGTATGCCTGCAGGCCAGAAGAGGGCACCAGACCTCATTACAGATGGCTGTGAGCCACCATGTGGTTGCTGGGAATTGAACTCAGGACCTTTGGAAGAGCAGGCAATACTCTTAACCACTGAGCCATCTCTCCAGCCCCCCTATGCTTGGTTTGGAAAAATAGTTTCTGATTATCGTTTTGGACACTGAGATTAGATTTGGCAATTCTTTCAACTCTGGGTTGGCAATCTTACTTGTCAAATAAGAGTAAGTGTACTACTAATAATCCTGAAATCTCTTTGGTAGATTCCAGTATACTAACTTATTTTTATTATCATGCATTAACTGTACAAAGTAATGGGCTTCATTATGAGATGCAAATAATGTACCATGATCATACTCATCCAAAATATTTATTCAAAAAATAGTACATGTGGGCCACAGAGATGGCTCAGTGGTTAAGAGCACTTACTGCTCTTCCAAAGAATCTGGGTTTGGTTCCCAGCACCCACAGTAGGCAGCTTTCAAGTGACTTGTAGCTCCAGGTTCAGAGGATCCAACAATCTCTTCTGGCCTATGAGGGAACCCACACACATGGGATAAACACACATACAGATACATACACATAGATAAAAATAAATCTAATGTATCTAGGCACCGGAGAAACAAAACTCAATAAAACCATGGACCTTGCATTCTAGTGGAAAAGGAGTGAGAGAAGGGAAACAAAACAAACAAGTCAGACACCTTGTGTCGTGCGCAATGGACAGAAGTAATATGGGTTTCAGAGCAGGGTGTTTCAACTGAAAGTACAGTGGTCAGGAAAGCCCCACTGAGAAATTGGTATCTAAACAAAGACTTGAAAGAGCCAACAGTAACCATGTGGGTATTTGGAATAACATCACAGCAAACGCAACAGTAACAGCAAAATATAAGAAAACATATGTTGGTGCTACTTGAGTATGACATGCTAGAAAACTGGTTGATTAGCATGGTAAAGAGGGGAATTATTACAGAGAATTTGATTTTTTTTAAAATTTCAGAACAAAATAGAAAGCCAACAGAATGTTTTCACTATAGAATCATGTGATTTAATGTTTTGATGATTCCCCTGGCTACTGGATTAATTACTGATCCTTGATTCAAAGACAAAATCAGAAATGCTAATTGAGCCCCACCTGCAATGATGCCAGATGACATAAAGATGGTTTGACTAGGAGGTAAGGATTGTGGTTACGTAGTTCTTTTTTATTTCAACAGAGTTTTGCTATAATAGCCTACACGGATTTGGAACCTTGATCCTCCTGCCTCAGCCTCTTGAGTGATTATAAATTTAATGTGTCCAACTTTTTATCTATTTACTTTGGAGACAGGGGGATCTTGCTATGTTAACATCTTGTTTTTTAAAAATTAAGTTAGTATATTGGAATCTACCAAAGAGATTTCAGGATTATTAGTAGTACACTTATTTGACAAGTAAGATCGCCAGCCCAGAGTTGCAGGCTGGCCTCCAATTCCTTCCCTCAAAATTTTGTCAGCCTTCTGGAAAGATACAACTACAGCCCCACGTATATATACTAACTTATATATTTTAAGGACTACACTAGCAGACTTTAAAGAGTCAGAGCAGGAGGCACATTTATTTTCTTATCTGAACCTCATATCATAGTAGGTAAGTATGATCACTATTTCACAAGACATGCCGTTAGGAGTACAGGTTCCAACTCAAAGAAGTCTGTTTTCCCCATTTGCAAAACAACAGTTCCTTTTAGGCTGTTAGCAAGATTAGTGGAAATTTCACATGCAAAGCATCTAACACAAGAGCCAATGAATGTTAATTACTGTTAATAATGCAAATCCAGATAAAGAGAAATGTAAATTGTACCAGGTAGCAAAGCGGGCCTGTATCATTCATTTCCCTTGCTTCCCCTCTCATTCATTCATTCATTCATTCATTCTACAAACTTTTCTGAATGTTTCATTCATCCATCTACAAACTTTTGTGAATCTTATTTGATGCTGAATCCCTGAAGAGTTGGATACGGAAGTTTGGATCTTGATTTTGAGAACAAGGTTTTAAATGGTTTAGTGCTACTTCACAGGGCGATTGGAAGGCTGAAAACAGGCGTCCAACAAGGAAACACGTATGAAACAGACGCAGAACACAGAACAACTTTACAGTCCTGCTCTGACATCAGGTTCAATGTCTTTCCATTCCCGCAGCGCCAGTACGGTCCATAGCGAGAGGAGCGGAGGGCCAAGTCGGGATGCCTCCCACTTACCGCTTGTAGCAAAGCTCCCGGAGTCGCCTGCTGCTGTCCGGCTCCGGGGCCGGACCCCGTCGCTCCCAACAGCAACTCATGCCGCGGTCGCTTGACAGGAACCAGTGGTAGCTCCGGGCCTTTGCGCTTCGGCTGCTCGATCATGGCGGTAACCACTATCCTCGGAGTCGCCACTGACCGCGCCGCCGGCCGCAGGCGCCGCGCGATTGGTTCCAGCTGAGTTCTTCCTCCAGAACTTCCGGAGAGGAACAACCAATCGGCTCACAACATTTTCTTCTGCAACGCCCTCTAAATACGCTCTTGCGATTGGTTTATTCTTGATGACGCCGCGCGAATTCCACTCTGGGATTGGAGCGCGGAGCTGGAGTCCCGCCTAGGCGCGCCGTGCATTGTGGGTTGGGAACGCGCTGAGCAGGTTCGGCACTCCTGGCGATGCAGCGGCTGCCGGGCTAGGAGCCGGCGAGGAGTGAGTGTGTGGGGAACGAGGCGGGTGGCTGTTCCAGTCTGGAAACTGCGACTAGGTGCTAGGCCTGAGCTTGTCCTTCTCAGCTGACGGCCTTGCCGTCGGGGTGGGGTGATACCCGGAAAGAGTAGTCCCTTGGCAAGCTAGAGCGGAGTTTTGGGATCTCTGGCCGCCGGACTCGAACCCTAAGGCCGCTGTCCCTTGACAGCTGCTCGCACAAGGCCGCTTTTGCGTCCAGGCCTGTGCTAGCATTCCCTGGGTCTGATGCCCTATTCCCGGCCTCCCCGCTTCAGTGTCGGATTTGGTTGAGGAGGTGGACTTAGTTTATATCTCTGGTTCAGCCGTCTTTTTTAAGAGCTGAATTAAACAGAAAGCGGTGGAGGAAATGTCTGACGGCTCCTCAAAGCACAATTTTGAGAAATCTAAGATTCATGCTTGTGTATCGGTAGTTCTCGTAAGTGGTACAGTGATATTTATTGTGCAGAGCGTTGGGGGGGGCACTAAAGAAACATGGTCCCCAACGTAGGGGCTTTAGGGTCATGGGGTGTGTGTGGCAAACATGTTAAACAAATCTCACCAACTGATTGGGAGACTTAAGAGAGCGATTAGTTATGAATAACTAATAAGGCTGAAGGGTTTTCCGAGGAAAAGATGTCCGAGCTGTTGCTCTCTGATGGGACAGTTCTAAACACCTCCGTTCTGCACAGAACAGCCTGTGCGGTAGTGCCCTATCATTTGGGAAGATGACTAAGAATCACAAAGAGCCAATATGCTGAGAGAAAGCTTGAAGTGGGGTATGGTACGAGATGAACCTGGAAGTCATGAAGATTTGCAGGAATTTGTAGCGTTAACTTTAAGATTAATAGGAAACCAGCAGAAGTTTTGTCTCCTCTCCTGGGTGCGGGATTTGGGGGAGGAGGTGGCTTATTCCTTCAGGCTTAATGGTGTTGAGATTGGAGAGATGAGAGGTTTACTGGAGGCAAACAGACCACGTTGGGGGCATGCACAGTAGTTCTGATCTTCCATGCCAATGAGAACCAAGCTGGAAATGAGACTGAAGACAGTTTAACAGTATATCGGACATCTGGGAAGGAAATGGCATAGGATTTGGTGATGGACTGGATACAAGAGAGGATTATGGTCTTAATGCCAGCACTGGAGGCTAATACAGGAGGATTGCTACAAAACCAAGCCTAGCCTGGGCAACGCTATGGTTTCCAACCTGTACCAGGCTGCTGGAGTGACACATTATTTCGTTCCTCTCCCCACATTACACGGGGACTCAGATGTGCTTCATGCCTGGGATACCAGCACGGGAGAGTAGAGTTTGAGTTGAAACCAGCCTGGGGTACATAGCGGTAGTCTTTTTCCTTTTTGATATTTTTAAAAAGATTTATTTGTTTTATTTTATGTGTGTGAGTGTCCTGACTGGTTTCATGTCAGCATGACAGAAGATAAGGTCATTTGAAGTGAGGGAATCTCAATTGAGAAAATGCCTCATAGACAGGTTTTTAGGGCATTTCTTTTCTTTTGCTTTTTTAATTTTTTTTTCCCTCCAGATAGGGTCTCTGTAGCTCTGGCTGCCCTGGAACTTACTATGTAGGTTAGGCTAGCCTTGAGCTCAGAGATCCACCTGCCTCTGCCTCTTGAGTGCATGCATGTATACGTATTTGTACCTTGTGAATACCTGGTCATAGCAGCAGTCAGAGAGGGCATTGGGTCTCTTATGAATGGTTATGAACCACCATGTAGGTGGTAGAAACCCATGTAGGTGGTAGAAATTACTGGGAGAGTAATGTGTCTTCTGATCCATCTCTCTGGTCCCTACATGGTGAGATTCTAGCTTTACAAAGCCAGGGCCTGGGAATGTAACCTCTGCTCAGTCCTTAGTACTGCAAAAGGAAAAACAAGCCCCCCCCCCCCAAAAAAAAAACAACAAGCTTTAGGCAGAGTATGGGTTGCACACCTTTAATCCCTGCACTCAGGAGGCAGAGGCAGTGGGTAGCTGTGAGTTTGAAGCCAGTCTGGTCTACATAGAGTTCCAGGATAGCCAGGGCTACTTAGAATTTGTCAGAAAGAAAAGAAAGCTTTAGATGTGGCTCTTCATACTCTTACTTAGAATTTTTTGTGTTTTAGAATTATCATTTTATGTGTATGAATGTTTTTCCTTAATCATGTATGTGCTTCATGTATAAGTCTGGTGCCTGAAGATTTCAGAAAAAGGCATCAGATCCCCTAGGACTGGAGTTACATACTGTGAGCCACCATGTGGGTACCGGGAATAGAACCTGGCTCCACTGGAAGAGCAGCCAGTGCTCCTACCTACTAAAGCTGTCTCTCCAGCCCTCGTCACACTCTCACAGCCTAATTTTGCAGAAGCAGCTTAGCTCTGTTTCTTCATGTATCGCTCTTTCCATGACTGTGTGGAGAGAAACTTTGAATCAGAAGGAATTAACTGTGTCTGCCCTCATTTTAGCTGTCCCAGTGCTATTACAGATTCTATATTCACTAATTAGCTTTCCAAATGTTGTAGGGATTAATGAAGGTCTCTTAATAGAACCATAGAGTTAAAATTAATAACACCTGTCCTGGCATGTGAGACAAGGGATGCTTGATAAGAAGAAGGGCAAGTCTGGGGATGAGACCACACAGCTGGAAATGAGAGGCGGGATTCAATCAGACTTTAAAACTTAAAAATAACGTATGTGGCATTTCTCAAGTATGGACAGGTTAGCCTCCATCCTGTGTGTTTTTATTTGTGTGTACATGTTCTTGTGTGCATGTGTGCATGCATATGTATGTATGGAGACGAGAGATTAATGTCTGCTTTGAGACAATATTTCTCACTACACGTGATACTCACTGATTCGTCTAGATTTACTAGCCACTGTGCCCCAGGGACCCTCCTGCCGCTGCCTCGTAGCTGCTAGAGTGCTGGCGTGACAAGCCTGCACATTTGTGCCTACCTTCTTTGCTTGGGTGCTGGGGATGAGGAGACTCAAGTTCTGATAATTGCATGACAAACACTTTATACCTGAGCCATTTTACCAGCCCCCAAAGGTGTATATTTTAAGTTAATAAAGCCCATAGAGGGTCTGGGAAGCAGCTTAGCCGCTCAGAACCCTTTCTGCTCTTCCAGAGGATCAGGGTTCAGTTCCCGGCACCCACATTGGGTAGCTCATAACCAATTTTAACTCCAACTCCCGGGGATCTGATGCTCTCTTTTAGTTTTTGTGGCACCTGCAAAACATACATAAAATAAAAGAGATAAATTTTCTTTTTTTTTACTGTATAACCTTGATTGGCAAACTGACCTTAAACTCAGAGAGCTACCTGCCTCTGCCTCTCAAGAGCTTGAATTAATGCTTCTCTTTTTGATGTTTTTCAGATTTATGTCTAGCATACTGACCAAGATCATTAGACTCTGGGATCAAATAATTTGCTAGGTTTGTTTGTGTGTTTGTTTCTGACAAAGTCTCACTATGTATTTCAGGCTATTCTCAGACTTCCTGTTTTTCCCCCCACCTCAATACTCATACATGCTTAGCAAGTACTCTATTATTGAGCTATATCCCCAGCATAGGCCTCAGACTTTGTTTAGCCCCAAACTAGCCTCGAACTCATGATTGTCTCTTGCCTTAGGCCTCCCAAGTGCTGGGATTATTGGAATTACTGGCAGGGGCCATTACTCCCAGCATTCATTGCTAGTTTTTAACCTAAGCTTAGTGATCTGACTCATGGAAGCTTTTCATCATGAAAGTGCATGATAAGAATAGAACCTCTGTCTGGAAACATACTGTGTTCTTTTCTTATTACCATTCTGACATATGTGTGTTTTGTTTAATTTTGTTTCTCAAGACAGGGTTTCTCTGTGTAGCTCTGGCTGCCCTGGAACTCTGTAGACCAGGCTGACCTTAAATTCAGGGATCCGTCTACCTCTGCCTCCCAAGTGCTGGCCTTAGAGGTGTATTCACCACACCTGGCCTTTTTTTTTTTTTTTTTTTTTTTTTTTTTTTTTTTTTGTATTTTGAGACAATCTCAGTGTATAATCTTGGCTGGCTTGGGGTTACTATAGACCAGGCTGGCCTCAAACTCAGAGATCTACCTCTACTTCCCGAATGCTAGGATTAAAAACATCCCTCACCACACTGGCCTCTTCCTGATGTTTTTCAGATCTAGGCACACATACTCTTTCTTCCAAAAGTCTTCCCCTGACAAACGAATAACAACAGTAGTGTAAAAAGAACGAAATCACCCAGGTGTGATGACATCCCTGTAGTAGTTGTTTGGGAGGTTAAGGTAGGAAGATTGCTTCACTCGGGAGCTCAACAGTATTCTAAATGTAGCCTGGGCAGTGTAGTGAGACCACATCTCAAAATAGAGGTGGTGGGGGAGGGGGAATGCAGTTCAGTGGGCAAATCTTGCTTAGTATAGACGGAGTTCTAGATTTGTTATCTATTATCATAAATAAACAAATAACTATCCAGATCAAAGCCTATCTTGGTAGCTTAGGTTTGTAATTCCTGGTGCACAAGTTCAAGGACAACCTAAGCTATCTAGGAAAAGTCTTGTCTCAAAATCCAAAAGAACTAGACTAGGAGTATGACTCATCAGCTAAGGATACTTGCTGTGTAAGTATGATGAGGGCCTGAGTTCAACCCCCCCCCCGCCCCCCGAGTCCACATAAAGAGCCAACTATGGTTACTTCTGTGTATAAATCCAGTGCTGAAGGGAAGGAAGCAGGGCTTACTGGGG